CCAACTGTGAGAAAATAAATGCCAATTGTTTAAGCTAGAAGTCAGTGTGTGGCATTTTGCTAAAATAAGCCAAAGAGATGACTGTAATATGACCAATGACTTCAATAGACTCCTGCAAAGGCTTTATCGTACTGTCAAAATTAAGATTTGGTTGTATTTAGAGGCTTCATACAAAGTGAATATAAATATAGACTGTATTAACAATCCAAAATAAAATTAAAATTTATGGAAATTTAATCAACCAATAATCAGTTATAAGAAATCGTGTTTCTTAGATAAATACCCAACATGTTCATTAAGCATCCTGAGAAAGTGACTTGGAACCCAGGACTTTAACCGTTGCAAATTATAATTAGCTGGCAAGGCTATTAATCATACAGCAGAAACCTTTCTATTAACCACTCACAGGAGCATTTTACAGATTGCATAATAGACTCATTTATTTAACAACATCAACAAGCAGTGCTAAATAAACCAACACAGGGAATTTGAAAATAAGGCAGTTTTTATCTCTGTCAGCTCAGCTCATAATTAGGTGGGAATATTCATAAGCAGCTACTAAACCTATCACAGGGATCTTTCTAGTCTGTGAGAGGCTGCTACGGAGCCTTAACATAATATAGGAAAGGCACTAAGTAATGACTCAAAACTCCAAACCAGAGAAAACAGAAAATTCACATAACAGATGATGGCCTCTGTAGTCAGCAATAACACGAGGACCCATAATTTTCCTGCTTTAACTACTATGTTCCTTCATCAAAATTCTAAAAATAACTTTGAGGGGGAAAAAATGCTTGCATAAGAACCAGGGGAACAAGAATGGTGTTGGTTTTTTTTGTTTGTTTGTTTTGTTTTGTTTTAGAATATGCTGTCACCAAAATAAAGTGAACCAGACCATACAATCCAAATACGAGTCAAGTTAAAAGTCTTTTTGATGTTTATGTGGTACTAAGGGTCATGCCCAGGGCCTCACATGTTTGGCCAGTGCCCTGCCACTAAGTCAGTCCCCAGCTCTCTTTTACTTTTATTTTGAGAGATAGTCTCACTAAGTCCACCCTTGAATTGCACTCTGATCCTCCTGCCTCAGCTTCCTAAGTAAATGGGCTTATAGGCCAGTTTTACCAGACTCAGGATAGGGTTATAATTTTTAAACAATATTTTCTTCAAATCTTACTTCTCAATATGATCAAAAAGGAAAAAGATCTCCAAAATAAGAGTATATTTTAAGATATAAATTATTTTCCCCTAAACTGTGTATTTCCCTTATATATAACCTAAAGCATATTTCCAACAAAGAAACAAGTATGGAGTACGATATTTTCATTTTTTAATGAGAAGATAGAATATTTGATGATTATTCATATCCTAAACAAGAATAGACATGATCAAATAATTCTCACAAAAAGAGGCAATATCCGAAAACGTGAAGTTTTGTTTGAATGTGCACCACAAAAACTAACACAGAATACAAAGAGTTCAGCAAAGTGCGCCAAAGCCTTCTCAGTAACTCAGGAGCTTCTGTTCTCGGGTAATACTCAAAACCATAAGCACCCCGGTTCTCTGATCTGCAGCAGGAGCAGCTACTCCATAATCTCTCCTGCCACTTGAGCTGAACCACAGTAAACACAGGACTGTCCAGTGACTAGCATAGGAAATACTATTAACACAAAAAGGGCAGCTCTGAGAAAGATCCCAAAATAGAGCAACACAGGGAAAGTACGCAATACTAGGACATAATACTAGTCTCTGTTAAGCAAAGGAAACCCCGGTCTCTACATGGCCTGCTAGAATTTACAACAAAATCTCCTCCTTAATCTACAGGAACTACTTACCTGGCATTCTTTAATAGCTATCTCCGCTCCCTTCCTATAAAGCCTTATCCTGATGCTCCATTCATTACTTTATCTGCAAATCTGGACAGACTCAGTTGGATTTCATGTTTATGTCATGCCACCACTGCCCACAAACAGACAGTGATAAACACCCCACCCAACCTGCTAGTTCTTCTACAGTTAACACAAACAAAAGAAATTCATTTAGTAGATTTATGAAAACAATTACCAACTGCCCTCTGAGGTCCTTCCAATACTGCAGGATGTCAGCATGGGCTAGCTGAATAGCAATTCTGCTTTCCATACAGTTTTTGTCCCCTGATTTCAGATCTTATCTGCAATACTTATAGAGCTGTCTAGTCATAGTTCACAGACATTACAGGATTGTAGCCCATCAATAACCCAAGCCATCTTTCCAGGAAATGGATTCAATTCCTCCCTAGTCAGTTGGTCAGCATGGTATTTTTTATCACACTCTTTTCCACTGTAGAGGGGACAGTTGTCTCATGCAGTATTAAACCTGGTCTGATCAGGAGTTCAATCCCATTAAATGATAAGGGAAAACTGCTCACTAGCTCCCAAATTAAAGAGCTATGATGAAGAGTCATCTCTGCTTCTCATAATTTAACAGAACCACAGCAGTGAAGGCTTTCTGTGAGGAAATGATAAAGATTTTAACTTGAAAGAAAATCCTAAGTACATTGCTCTTGTTGTCAGAACTGCAGAGTTAGGAAAAAGAGAAATGTTAAATTAATGCAAAACAGAAGTCCCCAGCCAAGGAATTCTGAGATACCAAACATATACATTCTACATTTGCTATGCAAGAGGCAAAAACATGAATTTGCATCTACTTCTACCAAAAATGGTTGAAATGCACAAGATTGATGGTTTTGAAGAAGAGAGACAATTGTATACAGTAAGGTAAATTCTGTGTTCATTCACAGTGTTGGCTTTTTTTACTCTCCTCCCAAAAATACATGACTGGCCTTCAGAGGTACTCACTGTCACGGCACACTTCCCACCAGCACCTCTGAGTGATAGACAGATCATGTGCATGTATGAAACATGCAGACAATAGAAGGGTATACCATAGTGTAGAATTTTCAAATAAAAATAAAAGAGATCCGTAACACCCTCAATACACTCACGTTCTTGCCATTGCTTTATCCATAATTAGCCAAGTAACTTCCACATGCTTTTTATTTGTATGTATATGGGTGTTTGGCGTTAGATGTGTGGCTCTTTTGCTGATGTGTACATGTGTGCACCACTTGTGTTCCTTTGCCCAAAGAAGCCAGAAAAGGACTTTAGAGCCCTTGTAACTGGAGTTAAAGATGGGTGTGAGCCTCCATGTGAGTGCTAACAACCAAATGCAGGTCTTCTGGAAAAGCACTCAGTGATCTGAACTGCTAATCCATCTCTACAGCCTTTACACAATTTTTAGATGACTAAATTTAAGTGTTGAGTCCTTGCAGAAGTTTATTATGGCATGGTTGTGACATCGTATCCCGCCACCTTACCAGCAAACATCAGTTACTTCTTCATTTTCCTATACTCCTTTGGCAATGTCTTCAGATAGCTACAACAACAAAACATACCTCAAAGAATGCTTTGGGATCCATGTACACCTCAATATTAGCCCTGAGACTACATGAGAGCCAAGGTGACTGACACAAAGGATTATATAATAAACAAGTGTTGGCTCAACAAACGAAGACTCAGAATGACAGCACATAGTGGTGTGGCATTAACACTGAGTCAGACAGTAGGCAATATGCCCTTTCATCCTTTACATGGAAATGAGGAAGTTACTTTCCTCCTGTGAGACTTCACTTCTCTCATGTTTTCAAACAAGCATAATGGGGAAGGGGAGTCTGCTCCACGGGCACGTACAGTGCATCAGGCCCAGGGTTCAAGCACAGCCATCAACCGGCCAATCAATCAGCGAACCAGCTCACAGATTTTAAAGTCTCTTCAGACAATAAACTAGCAAAGTGGAAACAGAAGTAGGCCAATTTATACTATGGGTGGTTTTATTATGAAACTTCAATGAAATAAAAAGATTAAGATATGTGTATCTTGAAGAAAATTATTCTACAAGGAACTGAAAGTCCATAGGGCTAATAATAGTTCATATATTTTAATCAGTGAGTTTGTAAATTGACCTAACATACAAAAGCAGTTGGTACATATCCCAGAGTCAAAGTCATAGAAGAAATAGAAATAGAAGAGAGATGGGGGTGGGGGTGAGCTGAGTGATAGACAGATCATGTGCATGTATGAAACGTTCAGACAATAGAAGGTTATATCATAGTGTAGAATTTTCAAATAAGAATAAAAAATTATTGAGATTGAACTTTTGATAATATAAAACTACCTAGATGAATCATGACACAGAGAAGTTATCTTTAGGGCATAAAATAGATTCCTCTAGTCTTGTAAACAACAACCCTGGGAGTAAAGGGATTTTCTTGACACAAGCAGAGTCAGCAGGCTGTAAGCTTACAGAAGAATCAAGAAGGATTTAATAAGTATATATAAAATAAACATGAGTTGTAGCTGTTCTGGCCTTTAGACACTTCCAGACACACAACTAAATAAAAATCAAAAGAATTTATCTCTCTTACAATCTGGTTCACAAGCCAAAATTTTGATCCTCCTTTATTTTCTAATTCTTCGCCTATACTAAATATGGGGGGAAAAGAAATTTAGATGCCTTTTACATGGACCAAAGTACTCTGCTCTGTTAACCAAACGTTATCTTTATATTCTCAGTCATACAAGAAAACATTTAGCTAAGCTAGGCATAGTGATGTGCTCAGAAGTCAGAGGTGGGTAGATCTCTGTGGGTTCAAGAACAGCCTCCTGCTCTGCACAGCAGGGCTACACAGTGAGGCTTGACTCAAAAGAAACACAAAGCAAACAACACACACACAGACAGTCAGACAGAGATAGTGGACAGGTGAATGGGTGGGTGGCTGGCTGGCTGAGCAGGCAGGTGGGTGGGTAGGCAGATGGGTATGTAGGCAGTTGGGTGGGTAGGCAGGTGGATGTGTAGGCAAGTGGGTGGAGATGCAGGCAGAAAGGCAGACAGATAGGAGATATACATGGCCAAACCAAATATGATTTCTTTAATGTCGTAAATATTAGGATTCTGTGATGAAGTACCTTGCTTTCAGCTAACCATCGATGTGGGTCATAATGTAATTGAGGACCAGAGGTAAATACCTACAAAAAGAGAAAAGAATGTCAAACGAGATTTTTCTCTGGTCTGAACATTCATAACCAAAATTATTGACCACAACACACAAATAATTACTTCTTAAATATAAGAATTTGACAAGAGGAAGACTGTATCAAGCACACAGTCAATTTCACAACACAGTTACTAAGTGCCTGCTATGCTTTATTTTTTTGATGACAATAAGCAGCCAGCTCACATACAGAGACACAGATGACCCAGCTGTCTGGTGGCACCATCACTCTCTGCAGTTGAGTCCATGAGATTTTACCAGGCATGCAACCTTGATTTAAACCTGCTTGCTTCACCTATTGCTTTATATTTTAAAATACTTAGAAAATTCTATATTAAACTGTTGCCTACATTGGCTGCCCTGATTGTCTTTATATCAACTCATTTGTAAAATCTCAGAACATCTGGTTTTGCCTTATTACTGAGCTAACCTGTACTCAAAAGCTGCTGGTGCCTTTATAATTATAAACACAAATTATATTATTCCTAGTTCTATGCTACATGGAATATTTTTTCAGGCTGTCTCAGTGGTTTTCATGTGAAAATATCCTTTCTTTTCTAAAGAAACATCTATACATATTCTCAAATGCTTCCATATCTCCTGATATGTCGCGACATTACTTCTCTGTCAGAATAGCAATAGTTAATTCACTTACACTTAGTACATATTTAGTATCCACCACATTCCACACACAGAAGTGTCTAACACCTACCTTCTCTTTCACTTTTTTCTTTACATCTAACCCTATTCTCATGTAGTTTTGCTTGTTGTGTTTCATTTTGTCTCCTATTTTGAAACAGGGCATTGAATTGCTATGTAGCCCTGACTCCTCTGAAACTATGTAGCCTCATCAAGGAGAGGTGGGCCTTTCCTTTGCCTCACTCCCATGCTTTAATTTAAGGCCCGCACCACCATACCCAATTCTAACCCAAGGCTTAGGTGCTCTACCTTGTCAATCAGGCTTTCTTTAATTACCCAAATTATTTCTTTCTCCTCTTTCAACAATGTACTGTGCTGCTAAATATCTGTGAGCATCCATTTGACAAGAACTATACTTTCCATTTCATAACCTACTCCATTAAATCTTTACTACCTCAATTAAACCTTCACCTTGAGTAATAATAAATATTTTGATATAAGAAATACAAGCAATGTTTGTGTTTTATGATTTTTCTCCACAGATTTACAAATGACTTCATGTTTAAAAGAACATTTGTAGCCAGTTATAAATGGCAGAGCTAAAGGCTATCAGTGCCATGGGAAAAGCAACCATGTAACAGCAAAGTATAAATCAAATACACAAGTGTTTCTACTTCTGGGCACAGAAAGCATTCAATGTACAATAATGATGACACATCAAGTTGTCACCAACAGTAAACCTCAAGGAACTATGACAACAACATTGTAACAGACCTGTGCTGTGAAGGAAGACAAAGAGAACATGTATGTACATCCAAACACAATAAAACACAAAGTTACTTTCAGAGCCTGTTCAAAGGACAATTGTTCTCTATAAAGAAACATAGTATTTGAGAATGTTCCTGTCCATGAAAAACTGGTGTTTTCCTGCAGTATCATGTAACAAGGCTTATTGTGCATCTTATAACATGATTCTCATATTTTGATTTTAATGCTCACATGACTGAAATTAAATATTTAAGCATTGAGTAAATGCTACATTGCTAAAAATTGTTTCTCTATATAAAATGAGGGTTTACAAAGTTACATACTCAGAGAAGCCTTGACATTTAAGAGAATAGCATTAGATAGGAAAAGGTAAGCCATTATAAAGCAGACCCTGTAGCATCCCCATGAGTCAGCTTTCCACTTAAGCCAACCATTCTCATCCTAACATCACAGCCTTCTCATGATACTTGAACACTGCCTCAAAAGAAGGTACAGAAAATTACAAATTGCAAACTATCTACCTATTCTGTTCATTTTGCCAATTGAAATATTTATATTAAGGTTGACGCCTTGGAAGTTTTGATTGAAACAGCAGAATTATATTTTCATTTTCTTTTAAACATCCTTGGAGAACAAGAAAGACAAAAAAATCAGAAATTGGGAGAAGAAAACTCAAAAGACCATTCGCTAGTGGAGGAAGAAAGAATAACTGAGCTCCCAAAACCTGCTAAGCACAAAACCATGTCTGAGTGTGGTCATGCCATGGCTAAAAGTACCACTTCATCCTAATATGCTAGGGGTACGTCAAGTAGAATACAGCAGGGCCAGAGTCTACACTTGTAAACTACCATGGGACAGTCTTTTTGTTTGTCATTTCATGACAGGCATTAATTGATAAATGATCAATCCCAAATATGGAGAAGAATATGCTGAAGAGAATTGTGTCAATAGGGAGAACGCAACAGTGCAGTGCTCCTCTGATCGGGCTCCAGTCAGCCCACTTGAGATTTAATCACAGTGACATCTAGGAGCAAGTACTGAGCCCCTCCAGATCTGGTTCTCTTTTCCACACTATATTTCATGGGGTAGCAAAGGATGGATTGGTTTTAGGGGATAAGGAAGACACTGCAAACACCATACTTATCATTAAACCTCTCGTGAAGAATTCTATAGATGCTAACAACATCACTAGCAGGCTAGCGTGGTGGACACCTCAGAATCCAAGCTACTTGACGCAAAGGATGTTTTCCTTGACCAATATGCTGCCTCTTTGTTGAAAGGCTGCCTTTCACTGAGTGAGACACAGGTAACCCAATGGAACAATTCACACTTTCACCATGACTGTGTAGTAACACATTTCCTAACTCTAAGCAATGCAAGAGGTTATTTGTTTCATAAAAAATTCTGAAATAAGAATGTGACTACCGTGTAATCACATTACAATCCCATTCTAATTATATATTAGAAAAATAACTGAAAATTTAAGGCACGTAATATGAGAACTCATAATTACTTTCAATTTCTCCATTGAGTCTCTGGAGAAAGTTTTACAAGCTTCATCAATTTCTTTTCCTATTACACCAAGAATGGATTCCTGTTCTGTCTCCAAACAAAGAAGCTGATCCTTGAGCTGCAGCCTCGACTCCTCCATCCTCCTTAAGTGCTCTTCTTCATTACTTATATGTTTCTCCTGTGGCATGAAGAATAAAACAGAAGCTTATTAAGTAGAGACAAGACACAGTTATTTATGCAACCAAACCTAGGAACTGGATTACAAACTATATATGACTGGCTGTCCCTTCACTGAGCAAAATAGATATCCCATAAAAACCCGTGCATGAACAACTGGTAAAATTACTACATAAATTCTATGAAAAAGAATGTTGAAATGTCCTTTTCTACTTAATAACAGTGCTACCAGTGGATCGGAAGAAAAGATAAAATCAGTAATTGCTCTTATGTAGACCGTCACAGTAAAATGTCAGAAGTATACATTACCAAATATGGTGCTTAGTAGTATCAAATGGAGTAGGTTTCTCCATTTGAGAGGCATGTGCTATCAGCTAAATTCCCTCACAGTGTATTCTTCCAAAGTTTCAACATTTGAATGCTCTCATGCTACACACGTGAATTTAGACACGAAGATTTAATAAAAAACCAAGATGGAAACACATTGCAAGTAAACAAATACATTTAATGAAAAGAGGTTTTTCAGGAGTCCTTGAAGAGATTTCAAGTACTTTGGGGTCTCCTCTAAGCAGAACAACTTGTCATCATTACTATTTATTATACAATTCTCAAGAGTTATGATTAAATAATTTCATTAAAACTGAGCATCCTTCATGTGAAAATGCCAAATCTCTAATGCCCCCAAGCCCACAACGTTAGAACAACTGACACGACACTCAGTATGCGACACCTTGGGTTGTGGGTTAGGAATATTTAACTGATAAAGTCAATACAGTCTAAAACTATCAAAAGCTCTAACATATGAGTTGCTTCTGATCTTGCATATTTTTAACACATGCACTAGAGAAATTCAGAGCCTTATAACACAGGGCATGTAAAGCGATAAAATTACTTGAACTGTATAAGTAGCAGACCACAGTCACAGTCTTACTTAATATATGTTCAGTCATCAAACACTAGCCTAGTACCCTTTTACTACCCAGTAAGACACAACTAATCCAAGAGTAGTGCATGGGTATCAAACCCATTTCAAATTTCAAAGAAATAAGAAAAAGAAACCCAGTTGTAAAAAATTAATCATTAGAGCTGCAGAGATGGATCAGCAGTTAAGAACACTGGCCGCTTTTCCAGTGGACCTCACTCAGTTCAATTCCCAGCTTCTCATGGCAGCTCTCTAACTCTAGTTCCAAGGAATCTGATGCCCTCTTCTGGCTTCTGTAGGCATCAAGTATACACATAGTGCACAGACAGACTTTTGGACAAAACACTCATACATAAAAAGTAAAAATAAGTAATTTTTTCCTTTTATTAAAAATAGATTCTCTTCTCATACAATATATCCTGAATATAGTTTCCCCTCCCTCAGCTCCTCCCAGTTCTTCCTCACCTCCCACTCCTCTAGGTCTACTCCCTTTCTGTCTCTCATTAGAAAAGAACAGGTTTCTTCAAGTAAACATGACAAAATAAAGTATAATGAGACAAAGCAAAAACTCTCATATTGAAGTAGAACATAGCAACCCAACAGGAAGAAAAGCATTCCAGGAAAAGAGTCAGAGATCCACTTGTTCACACACTCAAGAGCCCCATAAAATACCAAGCTAAAAGCTGTAATAGCTATGAAGACGACCTGGTGCAGAACCATACAGGCCCTGTGCTTGCTGCTTCAGTCTCTGTGAGTTCAACTGTGCCTTGCTTGGTAATTTAGAGAGAATGAATCTTTATTTAAAAAAAAATAAAAGGAAGAACTTTTTTTATTTTACAGAAACTTCACCACATATGTTTACTGTAAGTAGTGCTCTGTTACATAAGGGCACTTCTCATAAAGTCTATAACGAATCCCCCACCTCCCTCCTCTTTTCTTTCCCCCTTTTTTTATTACACTCCTTTGTGCTCAGGCAGTTTCACTGACTTGGTTGGTTGGTTGGTTGGTTGGTTGGTTGGTTGGTTGGTTGGTGGGTTGGTTGGTTGGTTGGTTGGTTTAGCAGTGGGACTGGGACAACAACCCAATGGTTGGACTGTGCTTATACCACCCAATAGTTCATGTGCTGGAGGCGTGGCCTATGAGTAGCTCCTAGATGAGGGTCACTGAAGATGGTGGCATCAATCAAAACTGACATTGTTCTCAGAAACTGTCTTGCTTTCCCTGCAGGGCTGAAGAGATTAAAGCCTGACCCCATGAGGGCTTTTTGGCTTCCTGTCTCATCTGAGATCTAACTTGCACATGCCCCCACTGTAATTTAATGTATCCACGGACCCTCACCACAGCTGGACTTTCCAATCATGGACTCTCAGGCTCCAAAAATATCTTTTCTTTACATACTATCTAGCTTCAGGTTTTGTTACAGAGATGAGAAAGAACAAATGGCTAATATAAGAAAAAACACTCTATATAAAGCATTTTTCTGTGTATAAGATGGTAAACAAGATCCAAAGTCCCCATAGATCTCTCAGGAAAATCTATCACTTCTGTTCTGCCCCATTTTTCAAAGTTGGGAATATGTGAAGACTCCTTAGTAGCACACAATGACTTAGTTCTTCCCCAAATTTTATATTAGATGTTTCAAACCTTGGGAAGGCAGAGCAAATTCTGAGAAAGGGTGGGACAAGAAACTGATTACAAGTTAGTTCAATCATTCTGTCAGATTTAAATGTATATGGGTTTATAAAGTTAGGTAACACTGTTTGGCCATTATTCTGCCATTCCAAGATACTCTGGAAATTTCAGAAAGAGCAATATCCTGTCCTAGAAAATATTACCATATTTTTAAAATACAAAGGTTAAAAAACACAGTATTTTAGAAAGTCTTTAGAAATCTGGTATATAGTGTGTAACTTCACTGTTTCAGGACAAAGAGCAGACACATGGGGATTAGCCCGGGTTTTTCTACAGAGTATAGAGATAGAGGCAGCTTACTATAGTGGTGCAGATAATCTAAGGTAGATATGCTTCCTAGCAGCTAAGTAACTAAGAAAGAATTCTAGAGAACTAACATAACTCTGCAGTTTACAAATCAGACAGCCAAGGCAGTGTCAATAATGTGACTAGAGTCCCAGAGCTTAGAGCTCATAACTAAATACTCAAAAACCCAAGCAAAGGTCTCATTCTCAAAATGGTAGAAAGGCAAAGAGTTTCTGCAAGTGACATCAAGAGTGTGCAAAGAAGTCACACAAGTTATCAGCTGGCCGAATGAGGACTAATGGAATCTTAACTAGAAGGAGCATCTCTTAGCTTAAATCCTGAAGATTCATCATGACAAATGAAAACGTGATCAAATGTGGTGGCCCACTACAGTAATTACAGACTCTCAGGATCCTGGGGCAGGATATTTGCAAGTTCAACATCTGCCTCTGCTAAGACATGAGACCCTGTCTCAAACTAAAATCAAAGAAGAAAAAAGCAGCTAAAGATGCAACTCTGTGTACAAGGCCTTGAGTTCATTCCCACTTCTGTAAATAGATTTCTAAATTAAAAGGGATGGACAGGTGAAAGAAAATAAATACATGACAGAGTATTGAAAACAAAAGCAAAAACACGTCAAGCATGCAAACTTTCCCAAACTTTGAGCGATTCTCCTACATAGGAAATATACTTAACTATCTATAGAAGTCATCTGACTAAGTCAACCTTTAAAATTGTGCTAATCACACAATGACAAGGCAGAGCTCCATTGCTGGAAAAGAAGAAGTTGCAGGATATGTCCATTTTAAGACAAGAAAGGTTTATACTACTGACATGTATGTCTAAAAGAAATACTCAAACTTCTTACAAGTCCATGTTAAAACACACACAAACACACACACACGGGGTGGGGGGAGAGAACCATTAATTTATAATTCCAAGATCAAGATATAGCATTTTAATTATAGATACATATTTGAACATATTCCTTACGCCCCAGAACAGTCACTTTCTCCAGGGTTTGACATTATAAAGAAACACAACTTTAATAGAAATATAACAACTTCAAAGATAAAAGAATACAACCAAAATGCTAGCTCTTGACATACACACACACACACAAACACACTATTCAAGGTGAACAAGGGCTATATTAACCTTAGAGAGTAGGAAGGGGTTTTTCAGGTGAATGTACACTGGTTGAGGCTAAGGAGTCAGGAATGCCTTATTTGCATGGAGAGGTTAGCCAGGTGCTTGCCTGGCAGGTTCTACTTTAGAGAAAGAAAGTTGAACCTGTAATTTCACCAAGGATCATGTGACATTTCTTAAGTAGAGGATGTGGGGTCAGGCTCCCCAGATAACATCAGGTGGAGAAGAGAAACCCCCACTGGAAAAGGGACTCCTCCAATTTATGCAAAGCTCAGGGAGCTGACCAATCACTGTAAATGCTGACCTTAATATTAATAACAGGGTCTCCCAGCACGGGTTGATATAGTAACACAGACCTGTAACCTCAAAGACTTGAAGACTGAGGCAAAAAAAAAAAAAAAACCTGAAAATTGATCTCCTGTCTTGCCTATATAGCAATCCAAGGCCAAGGGGAGAAAATAGAGATAATTTGTCTTAAAATATAAAAAAAAAAGAAATATTTTTCAAGAACTATAACAAGCTGCATGTGGTAGTGCAATCTTTAATCCCAGCACTCTAGGGACAGAGGCAGGCAGATCTCTGGGAGTTCTAGGCCAGCCTGCTCTACTAGTGAGTTCCAGCACAGCCAGAGTTGAACAGTGAGACCCAGCCTCAAAGGAAGAAAGAGATTAAAGGAGGG